GCATTCCTGCATCCATATAACTAAAGATGATGGACAGACACCCCTGTAAGAAGTTACTGTTAATCTTAAGACTTAATGTCTGGGGCTGGGGATGTGGCTCAAGCGGTAGCGCGCCCACCTGGCATGCGTGTGGCCTGGGTTCAATCCTCAGCACCACATACAAAGATGTTATGTCCGCTGAAAACTAAAAAATAAATATTAAAAATTCTTTCTTAAAAAAAAAAAAGACCTAATGTCTGCAGTTGATATGGATTTTCTCATGTAGAAATGACAGTTTATGCTGACATAAATAGGAATTAGACTTGGGTAAGAAAGGTCCTAAAGGCAGGAAGGATGAAAATAATTGAGGGCAATTCTGAAAATTACTGAATTTCATAGGCAAAACCAAGTGGCTTTCAGGAATTAGGCCAAATGCTTAGGTTTTTTATTGTTGTAGTAGTACTGGGAATCGAACTCAGGGGGCCCTCAACCACTTTTTTTTTCTTCTTTCAGCTTTGAGAAACTTAAGACTTGAAAGAATTATATTATGAATAGTCACATCTTTCACCTAGATACACCAATTTTTATTTTTGCTATATTTGCTTTCTGTTATGTATGTAATAATTTCTAGACAGCATGATACTTCATTAGTACTTAGGGGATACATGTCAAGTAAAATGACATTTTCCTATAAACTATAGTTATACAGCATAAAATTTGAATTTTTTGGATGTAATAATGTAGTACATGTTTCTATTTGCCCATTTGTTTCAATCTTCATTTTTTTTAAGTTCAGGGTGCAGTCAGATTACTTGTGTGCATTTAATTGCCAAGTTTCTTCAGCTTCCTTTGGTCCATAACAGCTCTTCTGACCTCCTTCCCCCTCCTCCTTGAATGGATAATTTTGAAGCATCGAGGCAAGTTGCTTCACGGAACATCAAATGGTTTAGATTTGTCTGCTTGTTTTCTCATGAGTGGATTCAGGTTAAATACTTAGAAAACCATTTTTGGTAAGAGTAAAGCATAGGTGATAGATATGTTTTAATCACATCTTAAGACAATTCAGATGCCATGCTACTTGTGGGACAAAGGAAGAGGACTCAGCAGTATAGTACCCTTAGATTTAATCCTCAATATTCCCCCACCCTCCCCAAAAAAACCCTAAACCAAAAAACATGGCCTTGACTGAGATGAAGCCAGTTATCCAGAGACAGAAGGGTTGTTCTGATTTACTATACTTGGAAGAATTTTATAGGTCTGTGGCTGAATCTGAAAGTTAATGATTAAGCTATACAAAAAGCAAAGATTAAAAGGTAATGAATGAGGGCCTGAGGCTGTAGCTCAGTGGTAGAGTGCTTGCCTCACAGGTGTGAGGCCCTGGGTTCAATCCTTAGCACCATATAAAAATAAATAATGATATTTTTAAAAACCCTTTTTTAAAAAAAAAAAAGTAATGAATGAGTGTTGTTTTACTCTTTCAGGATAAAATTGAGTTTTATAGCTTTAAATAACTGAAGTTCAGTAGCCACATGGTTTTAAAACTGGAGGGGGTACGATGTTGCTTATTCCAACATTTTGATGTTTTTAGGGGTTTCAAGGAGAAAAGGAAAGTTGATTAGAAAAAGCATTTCCAGCTTGAGCATCTGAGTAAGAAACGCTTACTCCTTCTGTGTGGTATTCTTTACCTGTTTCCCAAAGGAGCAGATTGGCCTTACCACTTTGTGGTTTACACAGGATAATAATGGATGTGACTGAAATAGTATATTAATGAGAAAAGATTTCACAGGTGATGGTTGGTTCTGTGCCCTCCTAACCAGTTGATGTCAAGGCTGGTGTCTGGAAAAGAAGTTGAACTAAAAACTTACCTCATTTTCCACTTCCATAGATGCTGAGAGTTGGAAAAGCAAAAGCAGATGTGTGGCCCAGACCTAATCCAAAGAAAGGTGAGGAGGGCCTGCTGGTGAAGGGTGAGTTTGTCCTCTTTTCATTAAAATGCTAGTTGTTCATAGGAGTGTAATACTGATTTTTTTTTTTTCCCCCAGATGAGAACAGCTTAATTCCTCCTGCCCCTGTGGACAGTGATGGAGAGAGTGATAACTCTGACCGTGTTCCTGTGCCCAGTTTCCAAAATTCCTTCAGCCAAGCTATTGAAGCAGCCTTCATGAAACTGGACACACCAGCTACTTCAGATCCCCTCTCTGGTAAGGGCAGAGAACTGGAGTTCTCAACACAGGACTCTAAAAACTTACCACACAGGTGCTGCCATTCCTGCCTGTACTCTGCAGCAAACACTACCAACTCAAGATTCTAAGTGTAGGCAGGATCTACTCTCCACTGTCTTGGAAGAAAAAAATATCCAAATTTTCCTTCTAGGCCTCAAGAATTTATGTGGGTTGGTAAACAGGTTCTGACAAACCAAATTAGTTGATACTTGACTATGTTGAAGACCTAAACTGGTCGACCAGTCTGTAAAAGGTAATTCATAGATGTGTAAGTCAGTATCCACCCTGGTACTCACGATTAAACAAGAGTTACAAATTTATGGTGTGCTTTATATGTCCCTAGCATTGTGCTAATTTCCCGACAACCGTATTGAATAGGTGTAACTCTTAGAGTTGAGAAAGCCAGGGCCAGGGAGGTAGCATCAAGACAAATATTAGTATATGCTACTGGCATTTGAGTCCAGAAGTGTAATTCCAGAGCCTGTACTTTGGCTGACATTGAATGACTTGGTAATGGAAAGGCCAGGGAACCAAGATGGCATTGTAAATTAAGTGAGCTCTCTTTTCTGTTTTCCTTTAGAAGAGAAAGGAGGGAAGAAAAGGAAAAAACAGAAGCAGAAGCTCCTGTTCAGCACCTCAGTTGTCCATACCAAGTGACACTACTGGCCAAGGCTACCTTCTTCATCTGGTTTTCTTTTTTCTGTGCTTTTGTTTTGCTGCTGTAATTTTAAGTATTTGAGTTTGAACAGATTAGCTTGGGGTGGGGGGAGGGGGTTTCCACAATGTGAGGGGGAATCAAAAAATTTTAAATACAGTGTATTTTCCAGCTTCCCGTCTTTACACCAAAATAAAGTATTGACACTCACATGAGATCTCTCCCTGCCAAAGCTTTTAGTTTGTTGCCAGGTTAGCCTTTTTGATCCACGTGTAATTTAACCCCAAACAAGTTTTGAGCCCCTTCAGCACCCCTTGGAGCAGCCCAAACCACAACACTGCTCTGCTGTGACATCATGTGTCAGGCTTCCTGGTCTCTCTGCATACTATTAGTTGTCTTTTTAAAAATGGTTGAATCTTTCCTACCTGTTCAGTTCTCCTTGTTAAAGAAACAGAGGGATGGGAATAAAATGGATTTAGGACACCCAGTTTGAATTGAAGTTTTTCTTCTGACAAATGGCCAGGGTGTGGTGCCAGACTTGAGTTGGCAGCTTGATGGACACTTGCCATGTGTGAGGGAGTTTTGCCCCTTGAACTTGGCTTTGCTTTAAAAAAAAAAAAAAAAAAGTTGTACTTGTCACTAAGAAAGCCTTTGGGACATCCCTTCCTTTTGGACAAGCTTATTTTGACAGTAGCATGAATTATGGGAAAGAGTCCAGCACTCCTGGAGAGCAGGCTAATAGCCAGGTCACCAATACTTAGCCTCTCTTTTATCTAGAGCAGCTCCATCCTCCCAAACCCTATACCGATTGCTGGGGGTAGAATCCAAGGCATCATGGGCAAGTGGCCTGCCATTGAGCTCTAGCCAGCCCTTTATTTTTTTTCTTGCTAAGTTGCCCAGGCTGGCCTCAAAATTGGGATCCTCTTGCCTCTCTGCTAGCAGGAACAGGAACAATACCCAGCCCTAGAGCAGCTTCCTATGCCTGGGTTTTAGCTCAGAATCTTTTTGCTGCTTAAAAAAAGACAAAGTTGCAATAAATCACCTGCACAAGTAATACTGGGTTTTTTTTGTTTTTTAAAGTTTACAGGTCAGCTAGGCACATTATTTCTAGATTAAACAGAATTGTGCAAACTCATAGCAGCTAGCATGGACTAACATCTCTGGTATGAGGCTTAAAGCTGGATTTAGCTTTATCATTTTTGAGAAATCCTGGGTCAAGGAAGGTGCTTAGCCTTAGATACGGGGTATACTGAAGTAAATATCACAAATCTTTATTAAATGTTAAGATTTTCTATTAAATGTGATGGTGCATGCCTGTAATCCCAATAGCTTGGAGGCTGAGGCAGGAAGATCCTAAAGGTTGAGGCAAGCCTTAGCAACTTAGCAAGGCCCTAAGCAACTTAATGAGACCCTGTCTCAAATTTTAAAAAAGCTCTAGAGATGTGGCTCAGTGGATAAGCACCCCTGGGTTCAATCCCTGGTACCAAGAAAAACAAAAAACTTCTGTATCCTTTTATTATGGAGAAAAGAGATCCTAGAGATGTCATTAGGAGGTAGCAGGCTAAATGTGGTCACAAGACTTTTTACTCCTTCCTATGAGTGTGGCAGTCTCTTCTGGTGTTACGTTTAAGGCCACAGGAAAAGAGTGGAACTGTAGAACACTGAATTTGGCAGGTGCTCTAGGGCCATGTAAATAATGAGGGCAAGTGAGGCCAGTCTCCAAAGTGCAAAAGTTGTGTTTCTTTTTTTTTTTCTATATTTATTTACTTAGTTCTCGGCGGACACAACATCTTTGTTGGTATGTGGTACTGAGGATCGAACCCGGGCCGCACGCATGCCAGGAGAGCGCGCTACCGCTTGAGCCACATCCCCAGCCCAAAAGTTGTATTTCTTATCAAGTCACCTGATTAAATATTGGGAAGGAATCTGGTATTTATAAAGCCAAGATTAGATTAGCTATAGGTCTGTACAAAGTTTAGTTGCTGTCTTAATATTTCTACTTCAGGTGACATGTTTTGCTTAAGATCCAATTTGGGGGTTGAGAGTACAAAGCCTCAAGTGGAAGGCTAAAATAAATACCACAGAGGGAGTTAGTCTTCTCACCAAGGTCAGGTTGTAGATGGGGAGACTTGGCCACACATGAATTCTGTAAACCCTTTTATAATTTATAGCATTGTTTAACCAAGCAATTAGATACAAAAATGTAACTAGAGAGCCTTTACAACCTGCAGACCAGGATCCAAGGGATGTTACATAAAGGTAACTTAAGTCCTTCATTTCAAGCTGGTTACTTGTCTTCTGGTTGGTAGTCTTCCAGTTTGGAGAACTGTATGTAGATGCTGTGCCTCCTAGAATGTTCTGTTTCCACAAGTAGGCCTGAACAGTAGTGTAGCCTTCTGTGTGGCAAGCAGAAGTTCACTCCATTGCTTCAGCAGCCTCTTCACCACCACTGTCTGAAAGCTCTTCCTCACCAGAATCCTCTAATAAACAGCTTCTTGTGACAGACTTTTGGATGGCTTCCCGCTCTCCTGGAGAAAAGCATACAAACCAGGGATGAAGGATGTCTTTGGGAGCATCTCATTCAACTGAAGCTCAGTCACTGCTTGGTAGGCACTGAACTAGTGTTGCTTACCTTCATCAGTGCAGTTCTGCAACAGGATTAACAGCTGTCTCCTGTTGTACTGAATCAGAAACTTCTGACAAGTTCTAATTGTACCTGAAAGAGATTTTGTGGTCAACAGCTTGTGAAAGGTTTCTAAAAGAGAGAGAGGCAGAAGTATCTTGTTCTCAATGGGTCAGCAGGAAGCCCGCCCACCCATTTGTCATGATTGATCTTTGAATCTGTCACCTACTAAAAATCATCAGCCATACCACATGGCACTCCTACCTCCCACATGTAAGGTGTTGAAAAAACAAGGATAACGGTGTCCTTTGTTCTCCAAGTACGTAATGAAGGGAAGAGCTGACCACACGAGCTGATAGAATTCTTTTCGACACCGAAGTAGCACTATTCCAGTATAAGCATTGATGTATCGAACTATAAATAAAGAAAAACTTTTGGAAAACCTTGGATTCACAGCAGGTAATAATCTTGGGAGAAAAGCCTATGTACCAGAGAGACTTCTAGACAAGTGGCACTTGGGAGGATGCATCAGTAAAAAACGGATCCCTGAAAGAAAACCTTAGGACAAACCTTTATTTATGGAGAGGCATTGCCTTGTACACAATGAATGGAAAATGAATTTAGAATTTAAAATACTCTTGTCCCTGACCAAATAAATGGGATGGGAGAGGTCCATCCTCACTGGGCAGAGGGACCCTTACCTGAAAAACAGGTGGTTGTACTACAATTGGGCTCTAGTTTGTTTTTGGTTGTGGTACTGGGGATTGAACCCTGGGGTGCTTTACCACTGAGCCACACACCAACACCCTGTCCTTTCTTGGGTATGTTTATTTTGAGACAGGGTCTAGCTGAACTGCACAGGTTGGCCTGAAACTTGGTATCCTCCTGCTTCAGCCTCCCAAGTAACTGGGATTATGCTGTGTGGGTTCTTTCAGTAGCCAGATGAGTCTTCACCTGTGATGTCTACATGCCTTTAATTTTTCAGAATTCAAGTTTGGGCTTAGGAAGGAAGAGAACTGTAAACTATGTGGTACTTGTTGGAAGAAGGGCCTCTGCGTGGGCTCGTTCTGCATTTATATACACAGCAATCGAGTTCTATATTACTCTTTCAAGGTTTTTCCAGGTGTGTGTGTGTCTAAGGGGGTAATTGTGACACATTCCGTGTGGTGTCAATACATCCAAATAGTAGCTCTTATCAGGAGTTATATATGGTTTCCCTCAACTGTATTAATCTTCAAGAGAAGTCAGGTACAGAAAAGATTCTTGTCCAAAGACCCAGTGCCTTCAGGTCCCCACTCTAAGCTCTTTGTCCAATTTCCGGTTCCTAGCGATCTCCCGCTCCGGGTCCCAGACGCCCAAAACCTCCAATACAAAGGATGGTGGGAGTTGGTTGCTTCAGGGGTCGCTCGCGCCCCTTCTTTCCCCATTCTACGGCGCCTGCCTGCTCCAAATCCCGCCGTCCCCCAGCGCCCTCGCACCCGCGAAACCAACAGAGCAGGCGGCTGCTCCGAAAGTCCCGTGTACGCGGGCAATCGTGTCCCGAAAAAGACCGCCCAGCACTCGGTCCTCCAGACTCAGGCGACAGCGAGGGTCGTCAGACACCAATTCGCAGAGCAGGTACCTGCAGCAGACGAGAAGGCGGTGAGCGCGAGGTGGGGCTCTGGGGGCCGGGCAGGGGTGCCCCAGCAGCCGCTTACCTGTGCTTGAAGCGCACCATGGCGGCCTCGCCCCAGCAGGCACGACGTACACACCGGATGTCGGTCCCGCCCGTGGCCAATGGGAAGTTGGCCTTCTCGGCCTCGCAGCCACTCTGAGAGGGAGGCAGGACGGGGGCGGAACCAGGCCCTTGAGAGGCCGAGTTCTGTGTCAGTCTCCTCAAAGCCCCGCCTTCCCTTGCGCTTGTGAGGGCGCGTGCGTCCTCGGAGCCTTCCTAAATTAGTTTGGGGGCAGGGCTCGGCAATTGAGTGGCTTGTGGCCGTGATGGGTGGTTTTGCTCCACACCGGGATTTACAGTTTTGGTGTCAGCCGCCCTATTTGGTGCCCTTGGAACCCTCCGGTTCAGTTATGTATGCCATTATATTCTGTCCCCCAAACGGACGGTGGAACTTTTGAGGCCAAAATCTTGAGGCCCAGGGATTAACACTCGGGAAATCGGACTCTTATTTTCAGGTTAGAGCTCGATTTTTCTTCTGTACAATTAAAAGTTCTGTTACTATTTGGGCTTTTCAGCAGTCTTATGAAGGTGGATGCTTTAGTAACATTTTTTGTTAGCAAAAAAACAATATATAGTCATTGTATTTTCCGGATTTTTAAAATATTTATTTTTTAGTTAAAAATAATTCCTGTATTTAATTTATTTTTATGTGGTGCTGAGGATCGAACACAGAGCCTCGCGCATACTAGATGAGTGCTCTACCGCTGAGCCACAACTCCAGCCCATTTTTCCGGATTTTTTTTTTTTTTTTAACTATACACAGAGAAGCAAATAAAATAAACTGTAGTCCCAGCACGGAGAGAGAATAACTGCCATGAAGTGTTTTCTTTCTCATCATTTTCCCCCTGTGCCAGGGATTCTCAAAGTATGGATCAAGGACCACTGAGACCGCTCAAGGAGTCCCCAGCTTCAAAATTACTTTCATAATAGCATTAAGATGTCATTTGCCTTTTTCATTCTCTCAAAATGGACAGTGAAGTTTTTTCCAGAGGTTGAGTGACATGTGATGACACCATTGCTCTGACATCTAATGGAATTGTGTATTTATTTTAAACATTTCTCAGTTTTAGGAGAGGAGGATATAGCTCATTTGGCAGAGTGCTTGTCTTGCATGCACAAGGCTCTAGGTTCAATCCCCAGCACCACGCACACAAAAAGTCCAATGTTCGTGGTAAATATTGATAGAAATAGCCCGCAAAAAAAAAAAAAAAATCCTTTGGAATCCTCAGTAAGACTCTATAGGAATCCTGAGACAAATAAAACACTGAAGAATAGAGGATCATACTATTTCTTTCCTTTTCATGTAAAAAAAATGTATATGGCATATTCTTACATGTACAACTAAATGAATTTTTATGTGTGTGTAGACTTCTTCCCAGTCAAAGCCCTTACTAGGAAGGAACTACTGCCTTCTATTACAATAGATTAGTTTTGCTTGTTCTTGAACTTTATATAAAAAATTTACAGCATGTTTTGTGTCTGGCTTATTTCATCCAACATCATTGTAAGACTCGTTCTTGTTTGACTTATCATATCAGTTGTTCTGTTACAATATTCTTATGCATTATTACATTGTCTGAATGAATCACTGATAAGTTAGTCAATATCCCCTTGATGGACGTTTAAAACATCTCCAGATTTTTTGGTTACACCCAATACTTGGATGGATAGCCGTGTAGCTAGCTAGGTCTTTACGTCCACCCCTATTTGTCATGACGCTCATTCTGTGCGGTTCAAGAAGAGAGACAGGTTTCACAACTGATAATTGACAATCATTCCCTACTCTTTTTTCCACCGGAAGGAAAAACGGGAGGGTAGGTGGTGGCGCTGTGTAGGGATCAATGACTGTAGAACTACCTCATGATCCAGAAACACGATCTCCAGCGTCCTCTGGCCAGCAGGGGGCGCAAGAGGCCCTCTGCCGAGAGCTCAAGACCCAGCCTGACTCAGCCTGAGTGTCTAGCTTCCTACCTCTCTAAAAATACCCATCCTTAACCCTTCTCAGCCTTCGTTCCTTTAATCCTAACGCCGCGTTTATTTTATAGATGCAATTGGGGTCCAGAATAGAGTCAAGTATTCAATAAGGAGCAGGCGCAGAATTCGAACCCCAAATCTTCCAACTCCAGTGTCTCTAATCCCATCTACGCGACTGTTGTCCTCCGGTGCCCCGTTTCACAGTCCACTTGGTGTAATAAAATGGAGCGATGGCATCGTAGGTTCTAGCCCCTCTTTCACTTACTAGCCAGGTGCTGTCGAGGAGGTTAATTCACATCTCTAGATCTCAGTTTCCCCATCTCTGCAATAGGTTAATAATGGTGTCTATTATTAGTAATTATTAGAATGGAAGTTTAAGCGGGATTACACGGGCACTGTGCCCGGCACCGTGAACGCATAGTAAACGCTGTTTTGAATGAACGATTTACTCCTGATGCACAGCACGGCCCGGGGAGCAAACGCGGGTTCGGTCTTTGGTTCTGAACCAGGTCCGGCCCCTCCCGGCCCCGCTGGGGTGCAGACGCGCGGCGGCGGAGCAGCCTCTCCCAGGATAATTAGCCTGCGCGGCTCGGGTTCCATCAGCCGCTAATTACACGTCTCCTAATGAGGCCGGCGGCTGTTTGCAATCACCCGGGTCCCCGCCGCGCGGCGCGGGAGGCCGCTGGGGACTCCGCCTGCGGAGGCGTGGAGGGGCGGCGGCCTCCCGGTCCCCAATGCGCCAGTCTGCCTCCTCCTGGTTCCCATCCCTTTACCCCGCATTAGGGTGAGGAAAGGGGCTGAGGCTTAGAGAAGTGAACTTGAGCATGATTCACTCCAGAATAGGTCCGTCTGAGCCTGAGCCGGAGCTTGTGCCCTTAACAGATTCATCTGCCGCCTGGATCAATGGGGTAGTTGCTATTATTACTGTCTTTATTACAGTCGTAGATCCTAAATCAGATCAGATAAATGGTGGGGGGCGGAGCTGGGGCTTGGAAAACTTCCTTTGGATTCCTCCCCTCCTGCCTGTCTGAGGGTTCCTGCTCCCATTTACCCTTTTGGATCAGACACAGAACAGAATGTTAGCTCCTTACAACTCACACAACCCATTTCATAGTCTGGAAAATCTGGAGCATTCCCTAGGAGGCGGTTGGGGCAGCTGCAGTTAGGTGAGGGTAGGAGGCTACCAGGGGGCAGGGATGTTCCCTGGGTCTTCTGATGCGGGATCCAGAGTAGCTGCTGTTCTTCATGCTTGTCTCCTGCAGGGCCATTTACTAGACTCTCACATGTACCAGGCACTGCATTAAATATTTTCTGGGTGGGCTGGGGATGTGGCTCAAGCGGTAGCGCTCTCACCTGGCATGCGTGCAGCCCGGGTTCGATCCTCAGCACCACATACAAACAAAGATGTTGTGTCTGCCGAGAACTAAAAAATAAATATTAAAAAATTCTCTCTCACTCTCTCTCTGTCTCTCACTCTCTCTTTAAAAATAAATAAATAAATAAATACTTTCTGTTCTGGGTGTGACTCCATACCCATGAGGGTTAGAAAGGGAAGTGATTTGCCCAAGGTCACTGTAATTTGGGACAACTTCTCTCTTACCCCCAAACCTGTGCTCTTATCCCCTTATTCTCTACTCCCAACTCTGGGATGTCCAGGAACTAGAAGGATGTTCAAGGAAGGAAAGTCTGATCTGGTGCCATTCTAAGGTGCCTTTGGCATCTAGGAAGTCCCAACCAGCATCTGGATGCTGCCTTGGAAAATTGGTGGCAAAGGAAAATTGTATCTGCTTCAGCATTTTGGAAAGCAACCGCTGCTCATTAGGGGCTCCTGCTCCTCTAATCCTATCAACCAATTTCCTGTAAAGACTTATGGGGACAATCTAGATAAAATTAAACCCTCCGTCTGTTTGGCCGGGGGCCTGGGGAGCCACCACCTCCTCCAGGTTGCTGGAGCAGACACAGCCCTCCCTGAACCTCAGAGATAGAACATTGCATCTCACTCAATCCCACCCCTGTGTCCTGTGAGATTGGCTCATCCAAAAACTAATTGAGAATCCAAGGGCACTGTTGTTTGACCCAGCAATTTCTCCACCAGGAATTTATCCCACAGGATTCTTGCATATGCCAGAGGACAGGTGAGCAAGGATGTATCTTGCAGCATTGTTTGCAATGGCAAAAAGTCACCTCAATGTTTATCAGAATGTGTAGTGATTGGACAGCTATGTGCCAGAGAGTGTTGTAGACACTTTGCAAAGATTGATACATTTGTCCTTGCAGCTACCTATAAAGTACATACTTATTTCACTGTAGTCCTGGGAATCAAACCTAGGGCCTTGCACATGCTACACAAGCATTCTACCACTGAGCCACACTCGAGTCTGTACTTAATTTTACTAATTCCATTTTACATATGAGGAAACAAAGACTCAGAAGAAGTAAGTTGCCCAAGCTTCTTGAAGCTAGAAGCTCAGGGCTATGGTTTGACCAGGAAGACTGTGTTTGTAACTATTATTCTATAGAGCTTTTCTGACTTTTTTTGCATAGAACATTTCCAAAAGGTGACACAAGAAATTGTTGATGGTGGTTACCTCTGGGGAGAGAAATTAAAAAATGTGTATTAAGAAGAGGGACTTGCCAGGCGAAGTGGTACATGCCTATAACCCCAGGAGCTTAGGAGGCTGAGGCAGGAGGATCTTGAGTTCAAAGCCAGCCTCAGCAAAAGCTAGTCGCTAAGCAACTCAGTGAGACCCTGTCTCTAAATAAAATGCAAAATAGGGCTGGGGATGGAGCTCAGTGTTTGAGTGCCCCGTGTTTAATCCCTGGTACCTTTTGTACCATTTTATTTTACCACATTGTTATGCACTGAATGTTTGTGTCTTCTAGCTCCCACCAAATCCTTGTGTTGAAATCCTAACCCTCAACATGATGGTATCAGGAGGTGGGGCCTTTGGAAGGGATCAGGTTATAAGGGTGCAGCCCTCAAGAATAGGATTTGTGCCCTTATGTAAGAGATGCCAATTGCTCTCTCACCCTTTCCTGCCATGTGAGCGCACAGGAGGAAGACACCACCTATGGA